TCCTTCCTTCCATCCATCCATCCTTCCTTCCATCCATCCATCCATCCATCCTTCCTTCCATCCATCCTTCCTTCCATCCATCCATCCTTCCATCCATCCTTCCTTCCATCCATCCATCCTTTCTTCCATCCATCCTTCTTTCCTTCCATCCTTCCTTCCTGCCATCCATCCATCCTTCCTTCCTTCCTTCCTTCCATCCATCCATCCATCCATCCTTCCATCCTTCCTTCCTTCCTTCCTTCCTTCCTTCCTTCCTTCCTTCCTTCCTTATTTTGGGGAGAGTCTGGATAGGTTGCCTTCCTGGGGTGAAACTTATGGGTCCTCCTGCCTCAGCCTCCCAGAGGGCTGGGATTATAGGCATATGCCACCACACTAGTTCTGTTGATTGCATAGTGTCTAGGGAATTAGTTGCATCAGAATTAACTTTTCAAACATTAAGTGGTAAACTCTTAAGACAGTCCGAATTTTGCTGTGATGTTGAAATATTAAAATCAATGACCAGAAAAAATTTATTCTTAGCCATCTATTCTTGTTCTCCTAGCTCGATTAAACTGTGAGCAAAGTATTCTATAAGTTCTATTAAACTTAATTGAATAGAAGTTGTATTTAATACTCTTTGTAAGAAAAAAAGTTACTCTTTGTAGTAATTTCCCTAAGTGATGATCTTGACGTCACATTTAGAGATTAGTGTAGCATTAAACTGGGGAAAGGGCCTATAGGAGGTCCCTTGGAGTCACTGTGTCTGTCCTGCCTCTTCTCAGGCTCAAGCTCTGGCTGCCTGCCATTCTTCTGAGACACTTATAGGTAGGGTGAATGTCAGAGAATACATTTCAGTTTGCACCTTCATGTTTCACATAGCTCAGAAACAAGCCAGATTTTTAAATGTATTTATTTTGTTTTCTTGTCATACTGTGATGTTTGACCCTTGGCCCTCAGCCCTTGACACTGAGCTGCATTCCTAGCCCTTTATTTTTCGAGACAGGGTTTTACTCCATAAGTTGCTCACCCTGGGCTCGAAGTTGGGATCCTGCTGCCTTAGCCCCTCAGAGAGCCTGGATCACAGGTGTGGGCTACCATGCCTAGCAATAGGCCACATTGTACTGTCAGTTATTTGCCTGCCTTGAAAACTTGCCATGCCCCAAAGGCCTTTTCTTGACCATTTTCTCTCAAGCATCTTAGCCTCATATTTGAAGCAGTTTGTTGGTCAAAGGTAATGAGCTAAGGATATGTATGTATAAATTGAGTGTGGACAAAGTTATTAGAAGAATTGCTTATAGAGTCTGCTGATTATTTGGTATCTGGAATTAAATATTTAAGGACAGCCTTTACATAATGTTTGTTTTACTTTGCTCTTGGGTTTTTGCTGCTGCTCCTCTGCTTCTGATTTTAAACAATGCCTTGAGAGTTGTTGTTTGTCTTAATGAGTTTAACCTAAGACATGATCTACCACCCTGGAAGAGATAACACTTTAAAAAGGTGAACGTGGAGTGATAGAGACCCTGTATCTGATTTTGGTGTGAGTTTGAGGTCTCCTAGCTTTTCTGAGAAGTCACACTGACCGTAGCAGTCCGAGCGGAGAGTGATGCGCAGATCAGGCCCTTGCTTTGCTTGTGTCTCAGCGAACATTTTAATTGGCATTTGTGTA